ATCTCTGCGTGTGATTGTGGGACCTTCTGAATGGGTACCAGAGGGCCTCAGCGGGGTCTGGGTGTTCCTGGCTTGGGGAGGACAGCGAGAAAGAAGTGGAGGTGGGAATTGAACGACAAGTCTGCCTTTCAGAACTCTTGTCACCCTCAACACTGAGTTTAGTTTAGGGCTTTTTTCCCCCCCTCCCCCAGACAGAGTCTCGCTCTGTCGCCCAGGCTGGAGTGCAATGGCTCCATCTCCGCTCAGTGCAACCTCTGTCTCCCAGGTTCAAGCAATCCTTCTGCCTCAACCTCCCGAGTGACTGGGGCTACAGGTGCACACTGCCAAGCCTGGCATGCCTGGCTAATTTTTTTTTTTTTTTTTTGTATTTTAGTAGAGACGGGGTTTCACCGTGTTGTCCAGGCTGGTCGCGAACTCCTGAGCTCAGGCATTCCTCCTGCCTCGGCCTCCCAAAGTGCTGGGATTACAGACTTGAGTCACTGCCCCCCGGCCGTGTTTTTTTTCCTTCAGTCAGTTGAGACCAGATAACTTATAGCCAGGGATAATGTTCAAAGTCTTCAAGTATGGCTTGCTGAATCAGAGTAGCTGGAGGTAAGAATGACATCCTGGGATCCCTTCTTGTGCTAAATGTTACCCATTTAGTTGGTGGGTCTGGGTCTACGATAGCCAAGGAGGGGGAAACTTCAAGGGGTAGGGTGCCTCAGGGCAGTGGCTGCTGACCCACAGGCCTGGAAGTATTTGACTTTGAATAACGGTACAGGTTTACCGGTGTCTACGCTGGCAGAGAATCTGCTGTGCTTACTCCCCTTCCCTTCCCTGGCAATCTAGCAGGTTCCTCCAGGCAGCTTCCCCAGCTCTTATTCCAAGAAAATAACCTGTCCCTGGGGTGGCTGCAGGTCACAGCTTTGTTGTTCTGGGGCAGTGGAGTGTCTGGTGATTAGGCAGCCCTAGGGGTCCTAGCCAATTGGAAGAAGGGCTTCCTGAGGAAACTCAGTCCTGGGCTATTTTACATGTGTCAGGAGGATGCAGACTGCTCAACAGCTCTAGCAAATGCCTTAACTGATAGTGGCTTAATCAAGATAGGTGATTTTCTTTCATAAAAAATTTTATTGGGGTAAAATAATAGAATTTAAAATTTACCATCTTAACCTTTTTAAGGTGTGCCATTCATTAAATACATTCATAACGTGTGCCACCATCCAGATCTGTAATTCTGTTCATTTTGTAAAACTGAAACTCTGGACCCATTAAACAAAAACTCCTCACCTACCCACCCACCTCCAGTGCCTGGAAACCACCATTCTGCTTTCTGTCTCTAGGAATTTGACTACTCTAGTACCTCATGTAAGTGGAACCATACAGTGTTTGTCCTGTTACGACTGGGTCATCTCACTTAGTGTAATGTCCTCAAGGTTCATCCATGTTGCAGCATATGTCTCTTTTTCTTTTTAAGGCTGAATAATATTCCACTGTATGGACATACCATATTTTGCTTATCCATTCATCCCTAGATGAACACTTGGTTGTTTCCATGTCTTAGCTACTGTCAATACTGCTGCTGTGAATATGGGTGTACAATGATCTCTTGAGACCCTGCTTTCCATTCTTTGGGCATATCTCCAGAAAGAGAATTGCTGGATCATGTGGCAGTTTTATTTTCAATCATTTGAGGAACTGCCTTACTATTTTCCACAGTAGCTGAATGATTTTACATTCCCACCAACACTGCTCAAGGGTTTCAATTTTTGCCACATCACCAATTCTTGTTATTTTCTTTCTTTTTTTGAAAGTTAGCCATGCTCATGGGTGTGAGGTGGTTAGATAGCCTATTTTCTTTCACTCTCATTTAAGAGGCATAGGCTGTTCAGGTCTGGTATGGTGGCTTCCAGGTCATGTGCCCGGATTTCGGGGTCCTGGCTCTTTCTATGTTGTTGCTTCATCTTTCTAAGGTATTGCCCATGGCTATATGGACCTAGAAGGCTTGCCAGGCAGCAGGAATGAAAAAAAACAGGAAAGGACAGTACACCTCTGCCATGTATGAGAACAATCTCCAAATTATAGACATCGCTTTCATTCATGTCTGATTGGCTACAGCCTGGCCACTTAGCCGTACTTAGCTGCAATGGAGGTTGGGAAATGTAGTCTTTTATCTGGATGGCCATAACTGTTAAGGTGGCTGATGAGTCCAAAGCTGATCTCCCTGAGATTCAGTTTCTCTTCTGCGCAAGAGAGGCAGGCTAATTTACACCATCATTCTTTAAGACCAGGAAGCTGACTTGGAAAAGCCTCTGTCAGGACTGGTGGGCAGGTCCTGGGGCTCTTCTCAGCCTGTGATCCATAGGAGCTGCTTCTCCAGGCTGCAATGAGGAAGCTGACTCATCAGTTGGCTTCATGGCATCAGTGCCCAGGTGGTCCTCACTCAGTGCCCCTGGCTGGCTGTTCCAGCACCCAGGGAAAGTTTGCTCCAATGGCCACAGCTGGCTGATTCTTCCCCTGTTACGGTAAGTGATGCCGAGGCACTTGTCTTCACCTCTGACTGCCCTGTGGTGGATTGTCCCTGAGCCAGAGACTTCTCTCCTCTGGGTGCGTGGCTTCAGGTTGGAAGTGGGAGACACTGGAGATCTTGACCTCGCTGGAGAGAAACCCTCCCTCAACTGCCATGACAGAAGACTTTAATAAGGCTGGCTGGAGCTTTTGGAGGAAAGCCCTGTTTAGTGATGGGTTCATTCATTCATTCATTTATTCATTCAAGTATGTGTAGGCACTGGAATTATAGGCATTCCTTCAAGAAACGCAGTCTAGTGGAAGGCAAACAGGCAAAAAGATAGGGAGAGCCTGGGTGAAGTGTTCTGCCCACACGGGCAGGGCTGGGCCTCATACCAACTTGGTCCTGGAAAACACAAGGCCACTGTAATGAGGCACATATTGGTTTGCTAGGCCTCATGGTCTCATTCTACCTGTCTTTGAGCTTAGAGAAATCAGGGAGGTCTTCCCTAAGGAGGTGGTGCCTGAATTGATTCCTGGGGATGTAGGAGCTGGCCCTATGGAGAAGCTGAGGAAGAAGCGGTGCAAAGGCACAGAGTAGGGAAAGCCTGGGGCATTGATAGCTGCACAGGCTTCAGGCAGGGTTGTGTGGGGCCAGGCCATGTACTAGATCCTGTGCTCCGCTCCTCAAGCCTGGAAAGCTTGCCAGTTCACCAAGGGCAGTTTAGCCTTCAAGGGATTTAGTTTTTATGACCATGCCCACAGGAGAAATTCAGAAACCAGAGAGCTTGCCTGCTTTCAGGATAATGACCAGACTCTCCCAGCACTGTTTGAAGCCTGCATGTTCTAGCCCCTGTCACCCCAAGCTTCATCCAGTACCACGGTTCCCTCCACTCTTCACTCTCCAGCCTTCCTGCTTTGATTTCATGAACACATGGTGGTGGATTGTTGCAGTTACAGCCTCCA